GTGAAAGACAAATGGGAAGTAGATGCTAGATTGTGTCAGATGACTTTCAGTCTTCACATTTACATGATCTTGGCAGGAAAATGTAGTATTTGCTGATGCAGAGATGGGAGACAATCCCATGTGTCTTCAGAGTGCAATTATATGGTATTTAAGGAAGATATTAAACATATGTGGAAAATGCTGTGTAAGAAATGAAGGAATCTAGTAATAAAAAGTGATGTCCGCTAAACAAAATCCTCAGATTACTTACCTAAGAATATTTTATGGTGTGGAATCAGGGCCAGTAGCAGCAGGTCATTTTATTTGACTTCTCTTTCATTCATTATTTTCTTGATTTAAATGTTCAGAGAAAATGAGAGTGAATTAAAGAGATTCATAGGGACTGTGAATATAAAACATATGCTTTTCACTGTTATAATGAAAGAGTTTGATGAGGAAGAAATGTACCTATACCTTGGACAGGATATTTAGGCAGCAGTAGGTAGAAGCACACATGAAAATACATCTTTATAAAGACTTACTCTTCCAAAAATAATATATTAAAAATTCTTCCTCTGGGTGACAGGAACAAGATCATGATTTCTCTATAAAGAGACTAGAAAAAGAGATGTTGATACAGCAGGGAAGAGCTACGAGGCAATAATTACAAAACAGTTGATACAACTATAATTGATATAGTTAAAAATACTTTGCCTGTGGGAACTCTGAATAAGCTTGAGATAGACAGATGGCTGTCTCTAAAAAATAAAACCAAAAAGCCAACTCTGTCATTTCTAGATAAGGCAAACAGATTTAGATTTTTGATGCATAGCTGAAAAAGTGAACTATATCCAAATGTACAAAAAATACAGTATATTGATGCAAAGTGATGTCACAGAGCTCCTCACTGAAAATGGCAACTCACTGAAAAATTGGAAAAAAATCCAGCAGCAAATGTAAATACAGACATTAGCAAAAAAAATTGGCAGAGGTCAAACGGGATTTCTATTTTCTTGTTCCCCAGCCAGTCTTGTCCCATCAACCACCTGCTCTCAAATTCTGCATTTCCTGACCATTGTAATTTCACTGCTGAGTAATGAGTAAGCACTGTCTGCAACCACCTGTACAATTTTTCAATGAAACCCACAGAATTGCTTCCCCCTTTCCACTTCTCTCTCATTCTCCAGGGAGTAAGATGAAACGACACTCCATCACCTGTACTGGCAAAGTGACTCTCACAGATACTGTAGCCCAGTAAGTGCTTTGTGCTTCTACACCCAGTATTTCCATCCTCTTCTCCTTTTTGGAGGAAGAGTGTGAGTGTGAAAGAACAGCAAATAAGAGCCCTCCACTGTGATTAGAATCAGCTGTCTTCACTAACAAGCAGCGTCCTTCAGATCAAAGGAATGGAAGCAAATGTTGTCTAGGCTCATTCAGCTTCTTGTAGAGAGCCAAACATCCTCTTGCAGGAGGATCAAAGCCTATGATACTTTGTGTTTTACTGTATCCTAAGAACTGTCATGGGACATATAAATCAGATAATCTAGGAAGAGAAGATAGCTCAGCAATTCCAGTTCTATGTGGTAGAAAATACTCATCTACAAAAAAAAAAAATCCAGTTGGTGTTCCCCTTGTGAAGGGCATTGATCGGGCATCCTTGGGCAGCAGGGGAAGGACAGACTCTTTCTCCTGACTGCCCTGTCTCAGTCTACTTATTGTTAGACTCTTTCTGTCATGCAATTGCCATGACCATGTTACATCAGTACTTTTATGCATTTGGAAGAAACACTGTGAAGCCTGGATTTACCTTCAGTCAAGATGCCAAATGATTCAGAAAAAAGAACATCAGTGCACATCCACCATCTCTCCAAAGTCTGAAAAATTGTGAATATTTTAAAAATAGCTACTTTTATTTTAAAAATAGATACTTAAAATGCGTAGCATTAATCTTTCAAGAGGGAAAAGGACACATTCTCTTTGTGCATTAAGCTGGAATGCAGGAAAGAGGCTTCAATCCCTTTTCTTGGTGATAAATGTGATATGGTATTTGGGCTATTACAGAACCTGCTGCTTCATGCATTGATGCTTTTATGACAAGTGGTGGTTACAGGTGAGCTCGCAAATTTGGCACACGAAACACTGAAAGACCTGCTTTCAGAAGAGCTGCAGAGATCTCATACTGCCTGAACAAGATGTGACATGAAAGAAGAGTATAGTCATTGCCATCCAGAGCAACTCACACTGTTCAAGCTGTTAGAGCAGTACATACATGGTTTACAGCATGGCCAAGAGAAAATCACAATACTGCAGACACAACCCCCAAGCTCTGAGAAAAACAGAGGCACAACAGGGACCAGAGTGCTGCCAGCATCTCAGAAAATCTTCTTTATATGACTTCACATTCTTGTGAAGAAAATTTGATGGGAACACTGCAGAAAACCAGTACTGACATGCTTGGGTGACACACATCAGTTAATGTTTGGCATTGGCACAGAAGCAAACTCAAATGCAATGAAGACACAACACCACGTCAATGTTTCTGTTGTGTCATCAGGCAGACAAGAGGTCTATTTAATTAACATTGGATGTTGATTATTTACTTCCTGTAATATGAAACTCTTTACTTGGAATATTTAAGACTTGCCCAGTATGTGTGGTTTATTACCAGAAGATGAAATTCCTGAGTATGGTTGTTTGCATTTAGATGTGCCAGTAGGTGTGATTTGTGTGCCTGCTGAATTCTCTGCTAGAATAGTACACAGAACCTGGACTATGACAATTAATATTCAAATATGTAACAGGAACTGCACTTCTTTACCACAGGATGTTAATGCAATGCAGAGCCCAGTTATTTATTATGAGTCACAGATGAAGGAAATTCTGCTGAAGGGTTTGTCCACAGACATAAAATTTAGCCTAATCAGAACTTCTGTGACAGAAGTTACTTTAACAATAGGTTACAGCACGAGATGATCAATCAGAAAAACTTGTGTTGTTTTAGGAGAAATTAAATCTTGTTAATGACAAAATATGATCTGCAATGATAATGAAGTCATAGAGCACCAGATGAGGCCTCCATGACCAACAGGGCTCTGGTCTGTAGAGCTAGAAGGGCTTGAAGAGTTATTTGGGAAACTCTGTGGTACAAAAATATATTTCAGATTGAATGAATAAAACCAAGATATAATGGTGTTCAGGGCAAAGGACTCCAGATGTGGTTGCTTCACCATACACTCTCACAAGCAATAGACAGAGCCCAGGGTTTTGAGAGAAGGGTAGTACCAGGAAAGGAGACAATTTAACAATTGTTGTAACAATTTAAACTGTAAAATCATCATCATCATTACTATTATTACTGTTATCACCATTATCACTACTGGCAATTCTTTCTGTGTAAAATATGACTTTTTTTAGTAGTTCCTTTTTTATCTGCAATACTTAAATATGGGCCAATAGTGATTCCCAAATAAATCTATTAAGATTTCTATTTTAAAATTATAAATTCCTGACTTTATATAAAAGTTGTGTTTCCTCTTTGTCCATAGACAAGCATTTAAATTTAACTAATTGCAGTCTTCTGGGAAAATTGTTTGAATGCTTCTCAGAAATGGTGTCTATGTTTTTCATTAAATTGTTTAAAATCCAGTACTTCATTTTATTTTATTTCTTCATTTTAATTTACTCAGAAGGAATTCAGAAGAACAAGCACTAGAGGCATCAGTCATTTTGTCTTGCATCAACTCAGCATTACAGAAGTTGAACTTTGCCAGATAACACTTCAGATGGAGAGAGTAATCTTTTCTTAGGAACGTAATTTTTCCAGCAGGACAAGAATCTAACCTTGACATTACAAAAAGATTGCAAGTATCAAAGTTTAGAACTACCAGAAAAATAGCAGGCAAACTGTTTTTCAAGCTTATTTCTTGCATGTTGTTAAAGAAACTTCGTTCTTAACTCTGATTGAGGTGTAGATCATAACCACCTCAGAGAATTTCAAGCCTGCCCTGGGCAGACCCACAGAAACAGTGAAATCCTGGATCATAAGTAGCACAACACCTTATTTCATTTTGTGCTACTGCAGCTCTGATTCCTAATGCCTTACACTACAAAGTCAGAGCTCCGCTTACTTAAGCCCTTTGGGATAATAGTAAGGCCACTATATTTGATGCAAGAACACTTAATAAAACCAAGAGAGAGTATATTGCTCTTGAAAGACTCATGTACATAAAAATAGAGAAACTACCCCTCAAGTCACAGATGCAAACAGCATACAGATGATTTTCTTCAGTGAACAATAGAGGGACTGAAATGAACAGAGATAAAAAGTAACTAATGGTCAGTGAGATAACTTGAATTAACAGGTATCAATTCAGATCTTCACTGATACAAAAAGCCCATGAGAAACTGAACACAGGACAGAGATTTCACCCATCTTTATTTTCATTAGGTGTATGAACAAGGAAAACTAATTGTTGACAGTACTGGAATTGCTACCACAATTATTTGAGAGTCCTTACCACACCTGATTCCACAGATGTTAAGTGGCTTTCTGTCAATAAGATGGCTTAACAGCCCAAAACACCTTAATTTAAGATTGCAAATGGATTTTCCCCAAATGCAGTTGTGCAGTGTTACTCACTATCTTGTTATTTCATTAAACTGATACACAGAATATCTACAATTGGGGTCATGCTACACCTCAACTCATTTTAAGAAAAAAAAATGACAGTGGAGTGTGTATTGGATGCTCGATTTGAATTAGTATGAAATATTTAATTACAGAGTTCCTAGGAAGCCAACAGTGACCAATATGCCCCGCTTATGGCCTGATGGAGAGCCTTATGGCCTTAAAATGTTCATCATCAAGGCACAGCTGACATGATGGGCCTATGAGGTGATGCGCCACTTAAATGCTGCCCTGCTCTCCTCTGGGTAGGAAATGACTAGAAATGGCTCTGATGTCACAAGACGCACTATACTATACTGGTACCATATCTCACTTTTCTTTCTGCTGTTTTCAGACTGGAAGAAGATCTCAGAGAATCAACATCTGACCAAGGATCACAGGTCACCATCTTAGGATGTGAATTTCTTCTTAACGAAGAAAAGCATGATGCAGGGGAACCATTGGAAGTTTACCTTCAGGAAACCAGAGAACCTAAAAATGTTCATAGAATTTTGAAAGTAATTCTTTTCAGGAAAGTAGGTAGGCATATTAAGATGTGGCTTGCCAAACATTTTTGCAAGCTATTCAGCCCTCAGTCAGTGAAAGAGTCCTTGCTTCTGACATAGGGTGAACTCACCGTGGGGCTGAAGGTCACAACAAGGCAGCACTAATAGCTCTTTTGGAGGCTTTATTAATGGCATGGCTTGCACAACAAAAAATTTGTGGAAGATACCATGTACTTCCTCATTTGTGAGAGCTGCAGTACTTTTCTCACACCATTTTGCTGTGTACTGCATTGTCTTTCTGATAGTGTCATCAGATAAGAAAAGACATTTGTAAAACAGCTGCACCAGCAAGCATCACCCACACCGTGGTAGGAATCTTGCATCTACATTCTGCAGCTAATAGGTATTTGGCTCTAAAGGCTTTTTAGTGTAGTTCCACTATAGGAAGAGGTGAAATACAGAATAAAGGCCTTAAAACTTAAATAACAAAGACTTCAGAATTTACTTGGAGTATAAACTGCAGCAGCAACAGAGGAACAGTTCAGAGCACAAAGGAGAAATGAAGCAGTCTTATGAGAGAAACTGAAGAAGGCAGATGGCAATTAGGTGTCAGTAAGTTCTCATTAAAAGTGGATGGTTTCCAGACTCAGTTACAAGAAAACTCTTTGAAAACATCTTTTGGAGCAGTAGAAAGAAAAAAGAAACATTAAACCCCTTACAAGGCAGTTGTGTATTACAGAATATTTTGTTTTCACTTCTACTTGGGAAAAGAGCAAAAAAGTTCTATGTGGAATCTGTAGTTCTGTCAAATAACTCAGATTTCTGCTGCTACAGGCTTGTGAAACAGATATGTTCAAACCAGTAGAAAAAAGGCAATAAAGTGGAAATATAAAAGCAGAACTAAAAGATCGTTCTTTGCTTTCTTCCCGTGTATTAAAAATAATGAAGTCTTTATAAGTGACATTCCTAAAAACAAAGTGCAGTAACAATCTTGGGGAGAAAACACAGATTTCTCACCTGTGAGACACAAAGTTAAAGACTTTTTTTTCCTATTATCCTCAACAAATAATGCTGTGAAAGCTATTAGGCTCAGAGCATGGTTACTTACTGTCCTCAAAAATCATATCAGTAATGTAACACCAGCTCAGGCTACTACTCCTTCAGCTATGTGAGTTGAACCAAGAGGATCCACATAGATGACTGCAGTTTGTTCCTGGTCTACACACAAAATGTGTCCATCAGGGCTGAGCATGGGTCAGAACTTTGTCCCTGTGCACTGTGACCTCCAGCAGGTCTGGCTGCATCCCCACACTGAATGTACCTGGGCATGTGCATGGCCTCCAGCTCCTCTGTCGTGTGTGCTGGGAAGAACAGAGGGCGACTGGCTGAAGGCTACCGGAACCTTCTGAAGACTACCAGCACCTTCCACATGGGGTTGAGGAAGAGAGAACTGAGCAGTTCCCAGCTCTCTGTTGTTCCTGGCAGGCACTTCGTGCAGCTGGGACAACAAATGGTAAGTACAGAACTGCTGGGCATAGCCTCTGTCCCAGGGCCCACAAGAACAGTCACACAGCTTCTGCTGCTCAATAGGACGCTGGACTGTGATGGAAAAGTCTACCACAAGGACTGTCATAGATGTCACTGAAAGAATCTCAAAGGACACCAAACACTTGTGTTTAGACAGCTGAATTCATGCTGGAGCACACCAGAGTCACAAACACCACTTGCATTTCTGGGATTACTGCATGTTTCAGTGATTCTCCATTGCAATGTGTCAGAGAAGGGCACTTGGGGACACTTTCACTGGCTTTGGTACAGCTGCATAATGTCTGCAAGCACACTTGAGTACAAGTAATGTAATCAGCCTGCAATGCTGATTGGCACTGCTGTCTTCCATGATCTCCCCTGTCCTCTCCCCCAAGGCTTCTCAGCAGCTCACACAAAGCCACATGCCAAGATGGGCACAAAATAACTTACAACTTATCTTGTGCTTATCTTTAGGATGGCAAAATCCAACTTTACAATAGAATCGAGTTTTGCAGTTACCATAAAATGCCAGGCTAAGGAAGTAAAATGTCAGGGGATTGCAGGAGGTTTCACAGTCACACAGATGGAAATGGAAGAACTTCATGTTCTCTTACTAACAACACTAAAGGAACCTCCTCCCCTGTTCCCAAATAGGCCATGTTCACCTCCATATAACTCTGGGGACAGAGAGAGACAGCAGGCATCTTTGTGGACAGGGAATCTTGAAAAGGGGCCAGAGAGCTGGAGGCATAGCTCCAAAGGGGCTTAGTGAGCTGGGCTTCTTGCTTCTGCTGTTGGGCATTAATGGGAAAGGTGCACTTCCCCCACAGAAACCAACACCTCTCACATCCCAATTCCTGCTGAGACAGAAGCAGTGCCTAAGCTGGTCACATGGCTGTGTGCTGTTCCCCACACCAGTCTTTTGTCCTCCTAGAACAGGACAATAAGTATCACAGGGCCTTATATAAACCCCAGCAGTCTGTGACCTATCCTTGGAACCGACAGCAAGACCCATGTACAGCCAATTCAGCCAGTGTGAACAGAGATTTCTGTTCTCCTGAGTTGTGGGTCAACTAACCCCTGCTAGATACTGCACTTGAATCCACCTCTATCTTCTATGCCAACCTAATCTAATCAACTCCATCTACTTTCCTGGGATAATGCTTTGTGGGTGTGAGAAAGTAGGAATTGAGGACTTGGCACTCTCAAAGCTTGTCTTCATTTGCAATCATTAGTTTAACTTAATACACCTGAATGACTTCATTTGTACTTAGCCTAGCTTTAGGGAGCACTGGCATTCAGGAAGCACCACTCCAGTTACTGGAGTGATTTGATTAGCAGTGCTGAGTGATTAGATTAGCAGAGTGGCTGGACAGACTGTTAATTACTTATTGTCATTCCAACTGATGTATCCCCACAGCACCAGCAGCTCAAGCTATGCATTTGCATAGACAAAACTCAATGGTTTGTAATTCACAGCCTTGCCTGCAGCCAGTTCTTCTGGTCCCTCAGCTTACATGTCAGAGGTCTGTACCAGCTGCAAACTCCATTGTTAGCCTGGACTGGGATCACTGCATGGTGCTGAAAATGTCAGCGAGAGAAACTATTGGTTCTTTGTCATCACTCCAGCAGAGACCTATTTCAGATTCTCTGGGTAATGCTGTTTCTTGAGTGATGTTTCTTGGCATGCAAAAGTGCCTCATTGCAGAATACTATAGTTTTTTGATGCTGTTACAAATAGCAACATTTTTCACTGTCTCTGAAGTTCTCCTGTGTTCCAATTATGGCAAAAAAAAATCTTCCTAGGAAATAACCCTAGTTTTAAGTCTGGTGCACCATAGAAGTATGTGCTCACATTCTATTTGTGATCATTTCTGTTCAAGGACAAATGAAAATAAACTGAGTAGGAAGTGAAAGTAAGATTTCTCTCTGTGAACCTAGTCCCCTGTGAGGTAGGTACATGTTTAAAGTCATTGGTCACCTCGGCTGCTGAAGGCAAGTAAATTCAAAAGGCATTCAAAAAATGGTGCTTTTCCTCCCTTTGGTGACTTCTAGGAAATGCAGCTTTATTGAGCGCTTGATGCTTTGGTAGATAAAGTTCAGTGAGATGAGCCCTACCCTTCCTGCTCTCTGCCAAGAGGAACAGACCCATGCTGCTGCTCCTCTGCCAAGAAATAGCAGACGTTATGTTTCCCCATATGGAGCAGTGCTCTGGATTATTGTGGAATTCCCTTTCTATTAAAAAGCAAACCAAAATAACCTGTTCAGAAATAACTGAAAGATTTTTAGGAATGTGGAAGAGGTGTTTTTTCCAGGATGCCAGAGACAATTTAATGTTCTGTTAGATTGTTATAAATCGCCTTGTCCCTACAGGTAGTAAAAGCATGTAATGTACAAAGGGAAAACATAAAGTAATGCTCTCAAAATATAAAACTGATAAGGAAAAGTAGTAAAAGAAAGAGGATAGGGCTGTGATGCTTTGCACTGCTCCTAGCAGTTGATTATTGCACAGTAAAAGCATAAAATCCTGCAGTACTGGACCTACACCTCCTCTGCAGTAGGAATTTCACTGTATGAGGTGTGAAGCAATGAAAAAACAGGGCCATAATATCCTACTGAGCTTCTGAGTCATCTTATTGCACTGAAGTAAAAGCACTTTAGAAAATACAAGCCATCTGTGATGTTAAATGCAATTATCTGATTTGCCTTAATAAATGCTCACAAATCACTGCCAACCACTTCAATTTTTCAACATTATTCTGAGTCATTCATAAGCAGGTAAAGGTCATTGTGCTCAGACCTTATCAACTCTGATCATTATCAAGTTATTATTTTCTGCAATAATACAACTTCTTCCCTCCAAATCCAGCACATGAAAGACCTTAAAAGGAGATGCAATTTTTTTTTTAGCTCTGTCCTGGTTTCAGCTTCAACCATGACAGCTCTGACATTCAGAGGATTATACCAGATACATTACATCAAAATCAACACAGTATTGGCTAGTACTTACAGCTTCTTCCTACTAGCATCAAGGTAAGTGACAAACATTACTGTTGTTAAAGGTCATATCCCAAGCTCTGTATTTCAGATTCCTCATGACTGGAGCTTCTTTACATCAGGAATTATCCAGATATGTCCCTCTTCTCTTTGCACAAGAATTCTGCCCAAGCGTGAAAGGGGCACCGTGATTGTACAAATCATTTGTTTTGGCTCTAAGTGCACTACACTTGGGATGTGGCAGCCCCATTGGGCATACACAGATCATGTTCTAGGCAGACTCTGTACAGGTGCACAAGTCCCACATTGCACAGGTTCATGCATTTCTTGCCAGGGAGACCTAGAAGAGCTACAGTGCTACCTAAAGCTTTATTTCTCAGAAGTCATTTACACCATAACAAAAGCTACAAAAATTAATTTAAAATCTATGTTGCATAAGTGTAAAAGTTTGCAGCTGGTCATCAAGAAAAGTTGCATGTGTTACTGAAACCTGAGCACACTGAGCACAAATACCAGTGCACACACTATCCAGTGTCTAATGTGTGAGTGTATCAGGAGTGGTTTGTACTCAACCAGTAAAAAACAGTATAGTAGCTCCACTGCAGACCTGGTCCACGTTCCTTAAAACAGCAGAGAAGAAAAATGCCATAATCAGCAGGAGACACTGTCCAAGCATTCAGAGGTGGTGTTAGGAATGTCAAAGCTCACCTGGGGATGTATCTGCATAAAGGACAACAGGAAGAGCTCTACATCTATGCCAAGAGAAAGACTGGGGAAAAATATGGGTATGCTACTGAATGGATAAAAGGCTGTAGTGACCAAGTACATCAAAAAAGCCTATGTTCTCAATGCCTTCTTCACTTCATCTTTACTTGTATGACCAGCCTTCAGGAATCACAAGCCCCCTAGGAGCAGTGAGAACTGGCACAAGGGACACAAACCCTGGGGTGGATGAGGATTAAGTTAGGGAACATTTAAACATACTGGAGATATATAAACTCACAGGCCTTGATGGTTTGCACCTGTCAAATGCTGAGGGAGTTGGCAAACACCAGTGCAAGATGACTCTCAATTACCTTTGAAAGCTCATGGCAATTTGGGAAGATTCCTGATGACTGGAACAGAGCAAATCTGGACAACTACAGGTCAGTTGACCTTGCCTTGATCTCTGTGAAGGTGACAGAGAAACCAATCTGGGAAACCATTTCCCGTATTTAGGATAGGAATGCCACTGTACTGGAATTCATGATAAAAAATATATTTGCACTGGAGAAATCTAGCCAGACTGGATATGGCTGACCTGGCAGCCTCCCATGATGACATGACTGGCTTTCAATTCTCTGTCCAATAACACTGTCTTAGAAAACCAA